CCCGGCCCGCCCTGGCCCCTGGGCACCTCGTGCGGGTCGCGGACCGCAGCTGCCCCCGCACCCGGAGCCCTGCACGGGCGTTCGGCCTTGCTGTGCGGCCCGCCCCGAGCTGAGGGTTTAGATGCAGAAGGCAGACGACCGCCCCGCCCGCCGGCCTGCGGCCAAAACTCAAGACAGGGCACGCCGGAAACAAAGAGAGGCCGCAATCATCGCAATCATCAGGACTCCGAGAAGGAGTGGTGCTAAGAGAAGGAAGAGGTCCCTCGAGCTAGCACGGTCGCCTCCCCTCAAAAAGACGCCTCTGAGCCAGGATGAGGATGAGGATGAGGAAGAGGCCGAATCTCCTACAGCGCAGGGAGGGCAAAGGCCCGGGGGCAGGGAGGACCTTGTGCTTCCTTCCCTGAAGGCCGATGGACACGCAGACAACACTGCCAGGCAGGTCATTTGCATTGTGCAGCGTAGACCTTCTGGGAAGATGGTGATGCCCTGTATCTTAACAGGGATCGGACCACACAGGGGCCTGTATGAATCAGAACTCAGAGAGCACACTAAGGCCTGTCATCTCACTGTACGCGTTGCCCCCCAGCTAAAAGAGCCCTACAGTGTGGAGCCCTGGTTAACGACCAGCATGGAGAATGTCTAGGTGTGATAGGTACTGGTGACTGTCCTTTACTCTGAAGATTATCCCGAAGAATAACGTCAGTGGGTAGGCAGGTAGGTACACGGACACGGTTCATTCTTGTTATTCATAGTTCTATTTTTTAAAAAATCACTGCAAATGATGAATTAGCAAATGCTAAACCTCTGCTCCTAGAAGGAAAACAGATTTAAGTTCCGTGAGAATCTGGTCATAGTTTCATCAATTAATGAATGGATAACCTTATTTTTTGTGTTTCTATTTCAACACTTTTTTTCTGAGACAGGGTTTTGCTGTGCTGTCTCATGCTGCCCTCAGACTCACAATCCTCCTGCCTCAGCCTCTCAAGCAGCAGGGATTACAGGCAGATGCCTGCCACACCCGGCTCAAGGCACCTTATTTAGTATACACGGTGTCTGCTCCTTCCAGCATGGAGGGTCGCCACACAGCACTTCTTCAAGCTGCTCAGAGCCGCTTTAGACCGTGAAATCACTAACAAAAATCACAAATTTGGGAAAGAAAAAAAAAAAAGGCAGCAAGTGACTGTGAAAAGGCACTGATTTACAGTGTGAGAGGTGACAGGGCTGGGAGCATCCGCGGGGACCCACGCATCGGTGACCCTCATGATGTCACACTCTGTGTCTGCAAATGACAGAAAGCCCCGTCTCCGGCTGGGGTTACGCGTCCGTTCCAGCAGACAGGGGTCTGTGGGGACTAAGGATGAACAGCGCGTGATAAACGAAACAACATGGGCTGCAGCGCCCCAGAGCCACAGCGCGAGGAGGCACGCTTCATTCTTCCGTTGTCAGCATTTTTTTTTTTTTATTGACGTCTTTACAGTTTATTAATCCGCTCGTGAAAAAAGTCGCAGTCACCGCAGATAGGCACTGCAGAATCTTTACTCCTTCCGCTTTTGGCCAGCACCAGCGTTAGCCTTTGCAGTACCCCTGACTTTTTTCATTCTGTCCTTGCGTTCCTTCTGCTGCTTTCTTGGTGGTGGCGCTGGGGATCGAACCCAGGGCCTTGTGCATGCAAGGCGAGCACTCTACCACTGAGCCACATCCCCAGTGCCATACAGTTTTTTAGATAATGTTGAAAAATATCTGCCCCTAGAGGCGATGGGCTGTGTCTCAGTGGGCCAGCCAGAGTCCTGGTACCCTGATGGAGACCACTGTGAAGCAGCCCTGAGCAGGACTTAAATTAACCAATTGGCTTTTTATGTTTACTTGTGAATCTGTCCAAAGCCTAGGCTGTTTGTCTGGGAGTGGGCAACAGACTCATAGTAAGTGAACCTCTGTGAGTCACTCATTCCTACTAAAACCTGTAACATCGGATGAATTCTCCAAGGATAAGACATGATCACAGCCGAGGACACCTGGATCCAACCTCAACTCGATAAAGACTGTAACCTCAGGCATCTCACTCCTGGGTTGATTAACTGAATACCTTACTTGGAGAAGTCCTTGAGTAATTCTGCCCTTCTTGTGTACTCCCCTCCCTTCTTCTGATAACCAAATAAATACGGGCCACCCAGAAAAGATCTTGGCCCAAAAAGATTCTCAAATTCTGTGAGAGGGCTTTGACCCTCCTGGAGCCCTGAAATTGTTCCATTTGCCTCTTTTTATTTAGCCTTTGCCATACACTTGTGCAGGAGATTGCAGACCTGATCAGCTGCAATAACTAAGGGATATTATTAACCTGCTAGTACCTGTCTTAATTATGCAAATGGGGAGAGGGGATAGGAAGCATTTGTGGGTTGAGGACCACTGCTTCCTCCTGCCTGGGTGCTGAGGACAAGCTGAGATGGCACTGGGGGGAAGGGCTGGGGAGGGCCAGGCTGGAGGGGGATCCAGGATGTGCCAACAGTGACGAGCAAGCAAGTGCTCCAGGGGACCACAAGGGGCTGCCTTCATGTCCCCATCTAGAGAAGAGTGTCTTAAAAGAATCATTTTTAGCAGGGTGCGGTGGTGAACACTTATAGTCTCAGCACTCAGGAACCTGAGGCAGGAGGATCACCAGGAGTTCATGGCCAGCCTGGACTACATAGCAAGACCCTGTCTCAAAAACAATAGAGTCCATGGCACAAGGATGTTTAAAATGAGTCACAAGGGCTCCTAGGTGTCCACCCTAGAGAAATGACAAATGTGCAGAGATCCACATGGAGCACAGAAAGCATTTCCACTCATGACTGCTGTAATTGGGAACAGGATAAATATTTTTCAGCAGATGAGGTGAGCGGTAGTACCCACCTAGGACAGCAATAAAACCAGTGGAATGAGGGTGCCCATGGCCCAACACACTCTGCTGCATAAGAAGCCGGACTCTGGGCCCCATTCAAAGCCCAGGGAAGGGAGGATACATCAGTGGTCTCCAGGTGGGCGGGCATGCACCGGCTACAAGGGGCATGAGAGGACTGGGCCTGGCCTACATCTTGTTTTTTGAAACAGGGTCTTGCTAATCCGAGCTGACCTTGAACTTGCTGTGTAGCCCAAGCTGGTGTCAAACTGGCCATCCTCCTGCCTCAGCATCCCAAGTGCTGGGGTTACAGGCATGCGAGACCATGTCCACCTAATCCACATCTTGGTGGTTTCTCGGCTGTATGCATTTGTTGAGTCTTAGGATTTTTCACTAAGATAGTATATAAATATTACTGCATGGAAATTACACCATTTTTAACTAAGGGGTGGGGAGCTGGGGCAGACACACCTCGCACCCATGAAAAAATGATTACTGAACTAGGACGAGTTACGGAGGATCATCTACACTCCGCCCCCACTGCCGTGACTCCAGCCCCAGAACTCACTGCGGTCTACACTGCACCCCCAGCTGTTCCCTGGAACTTAAATCAGCATCTCCTGGACGCCAGCTCCCCAAGTGAGGGGACAGAGTGACCGTCTGCTCCTGGTTCAGCCTCAGAGCTCTCTGGTCCTGAGCAGTCGGCCCAGCACCTCCTCCCGCTGATTCTGCCTGCCCCATCTCTGTCCTCTCCCCCTAGCCCTGTCCCTCCTGGGGTCATCCTGTCTGTAGCTACCCAGGCTCCACACCCAGCTCCCCACCAGCCGAGATCTCTCCCCTGAGGTCGGTTGTGCTGGCATCGCCTCCTTTGATCTCCACCACCTGTTTCTATTAATACAACCCGAGATCCAGATCTAACTCTCGAGGCACCTGTGGTTGGCTGAACCCCACATTCAGTTTCCACTTGAGCTCAGCTCTTGGGCCTGCAAGCCGCTCAGGGCAATTCTGCCCCAAGGGCACCCACACTCAAGAAGCTCCTGTAGCTCCCTCCTGCCTTCGTCGTCAGCCCCAACTCCTCAGCCCACCCCCGAAGCTGGCTGTTGTCTGCTGCCTTCCAGTTCTGTCCACTCTCCTGTCCGTGCAGCGCCCTCTGTGTGGCGCCCCCCCCATCAGCCCTTCCCGCCACTGGCAGCACGGGGTGTGGGACCAGGTGGGAGCAGGCATGTCCCAGGACCTGGGATGGGCAGGCGGGTGGCCCTGGCCTCTGGGAAAGGAAGCTGTGGCGGGAAGCTGCCTGTGACACGGTTTGAAGCTCCACCCCTCGGTGGTCGCAGGTGCAACCTGGGTAGCAGGAAGCGGGTCGGGCAGAAGAGGCAGAGGCTGAGCCGGGCCACGGGGCCCAGCATGAGGCCACCCTGACATCCCAGGCCCTCCCCCCTTTCCCAGCTCACAGCCCATCGGGCTGGCCGGCCTGCCTCGGTCTTCCTGGACCACCCTCATTAGCACAACTGGGGAACGATGGCAGGGAGGCTCTCAAGGACGGGGTAGCAGACGGGGCCGGTGGGCAGTGTCGCATGTGACCAGCATCAAGCGTGCGTCCTGAGTGGCAGCCTGCACATGTGTGGCCTGCTGCCCTGAGCCCTGGCTGGGCTTTACCCGAGGGGACAGCAGGGCTTGTGCCGAGCCATGTGACCCGGTCCTCCCTGGCCAGCCCCGCATCCTCTAGAAGTCACAGCTTCGAGGTCCTCCCTCCCTCAGAGCCACAGCCCTGGACGGCCACAGGGACAGCGGAGCCAGGGAGGGCGAGCCGGGACCCTCGAGTGTCCTCTCTGGAGACCTGAATGGTGTCTGTCCCAGGGACACACAACTCCCTGCCCAGGACACGAGGCCCCATGCGTGTCCCCAGTATGGGGACAGAGGCCACCACACTGGGCACCTACAAGGTGTGCAGCGTGTGGGCAGAGACGCCTCTGAGCATGCGCAGACCCCAGCCCCTCCTTCCTGGCCACAAATAGGTCCCTCGGTGTCCCCTCCACATGGAAGGTGCCCAGCTGGCCAGGCACTTCCTGTGGGCTCCTAGGGGCCCTGCTCCCCTGTGTCACAGCCCTCACAGCCGCAGGTGATCATCCTGTTGACTCCTGTCCCTGACCACACCGGGTTTCCCAAGACGGAGCCCAGGGGCACTCACTTCCCATGGGGCCTGCTTCCTCTCAATAAATGTCCACCACCTGGAGCCGGGTGTGGGTGGTACGTGCCTATAATCCCAGCACTCTGGGAGGCTGAGGCAGGAGAGTTCCAAGTTCAAACCCAGCCTGGGCAATTTAAGTGACTTAGTGAGACCCTGTCTCAAAATAAAACATAAAGAGGGCTGGAGAGGTGGAAGGTGTAAAAGCCCTGCACTCAGGCTTTTTTACTGGGAAAAGAAGGAGAGAAGAGGAAAGAGAGACCGAAACATCTGCCACTGGATGAGAGCCACAGTTTTGGGGCACAGGCCCTGTGAGTGTCCCCCCACCCCAGCCTCGGCACCTCTGGTCAGAGGGAACTGCATCCCCATTCCCCAGCCTGGCAGGTGCATGTCACACTCAGAACCACACTGCCCACAAGCGGCGGGGACTTGAGGTCCCTGTGGAGAGCAGAACCCGCAGCTCTGAGCTGGTCCCAGGGCGCCCAAGTCCCCACAGACCCCCCGCTGACCCAGGCATCACCACACTTTGAGCTGCCTTTGCCTGTCAAGGCCTAGAGAGCTGGGCTGCTGGGGGTCCAGGGCAGGTTCCCAAAGCCAGCAGATTCTGTGTGTTTGCTGATTGACTAAACAATATCCCTCCACCCCTGGCCCCAAGCACAACTATAGATATGTGCAGACAGTACAGAATGTCCCTGGGGTCTCAGCCCTCACCCCAGGGCTTTCGGGGAGAGCTCAGCATGGTACTCCAGATGTCTCCCCTCCCTGCACCCTCACAGGGACCCCATGAAGGGAGGATTGGTGATTCGAACACAGAGAGGTACAGGGACATGTTCAGGGTCACACAGCTGGTAAGCGGCTGAGGCAACTTGAATCCAGGGCCCCGACCCCCAAGCATGGATGTGAACACCATCCAGGCTGCCTGCCTGCACAGGGTCGCCCAGGGCTGCCCCGGTGGGCAAAGGGGAAAAGCCTGGATTTGGCGACCAGACCTTCCATTGTGGGCGTCCCTAACCCTAACTTCTTTCTTTGGTGGTTGTTCTTGCTTTGTTTTTTGGGGACAGGGTCTCGCTGCGTAGTCCAGACTGGCCTCAAGCTCACTATGTCGCCCAGGCTGGCCTTGAACTCACAGCGATCCTCCTGTCTCAGCCTCCTAAATGCTGGGATGACAGGCATGAGCCACCACGCCCTGTTCGACCCTCCTTTGTATGTGATGTGTATTAGGCCCCTACTGTATGCCCACTGCCATGCCCAAGTCACGAGTGACAAAACTTGTCGTGTGCAGCTCCGCTCCTTCCCACAGCATTTGATCTGCATTTCACAGAGGCCGCCTCCGAGAAGCCAGGCAAGCCGCCAGGACACAGAGCGGCTGAGCAGAACTCAGAGGCCCAGCGCCTTGTCCCTCAGATCCCCTCACCTCTGAGCTGGCCTGCCGGCGCCGGAGCCTACCCCAGGCACCTATCTGAGTCAACAGCATTTCGGGGTGTCAAGTTCACCAGCCCGGGGCTGGTGACCTTTGCGTTCTCTGGAGGTGTCTCTGCTTCCTGGCCCAAGGATGCAGCCCTGACAGTGGAGCCCCGCATCGCTGTTCCCCAGATGCCCCTGCTTTGGCCCCTGCAGGGCGAGCTGCTCTTCACAGTGGCCGGCCACAAGCCGACCCCGCTTCCTTCTCCAGGCAGACCCACCGTGTCGCAGGCCCGCAGCCCCCCAGTCCTCCCAGCAGCCTGCAGATTCCAGGTGGCACTGTCCCTCCCCCGGACACAGGCCACCCCACACACACACAGCAGCCAGCGCTTCTCTTCCGAGCCAACCTACCTGGGGACGTGCACACGGAAGTAGAGGAAAGCAGGCCACTGTGGGGTCTCTGGACCCCAACACCGACTCAGAGCTGGCTCTAGATGGACAACGGGGACCCACACGGTCAACTTGGCTTCCGGCAGCTGAGGCCCCAGCCTGGGAGCTGCACCGGCCCCACCCTCCTTGCACACACGGCGAGATGCAGCGGTTCACACCCGGGGGCACAGGGCCTCCCTCCACCAGGCACTCTAGAGTCCCCTGGGGTGGCCAGGGTGGCAGGGCAGGGCAGAAGGCCGAGGACCCCCAGCAGCTCTGCCGCCCGAAGGCCTGGTGTCTCGGGGCTCTCACCACAGCCTGGCGCGCAACTCTTCCTCGACGCGAAGACAGGAAAGAGCTGCGTTTGAAGTTTGCGTCAATGTCACAAAGTGCTGTGTTCAAGGAAAATTGCAGGCCCCGGGTTCCGGGGAGGGCAGGGGGCACTTCCGCAGCCACGTGGTGTGGCCCGGCATGCAGGGTAGGAGATGTAAAGGGCAGGCTGGCGGCAGGCAGGGCCTGGGGACTCAACGCAGGCGCCTGGGTGCTGGGTCGGGCAGGCAGGGGGTAGGGGTGGGGGGCCGGGCTGGCGCAAACAGGACTGCTGGGCTTTTCCCCCATGGCTCATAGGTCGGGGCCTACTCCTGGCGACACCCCAGGGGCTGACTTACTTATTCCACAGGAAGGAGGCAAGAGAAGCCTACCAAGCGAGGCCCTGCCCTAACGTTCAGAGCTCCGACTGTGTTCCACACGGGGACAGCAAAGGCAGGCTGTTCCTGCCCTCGGAGAGCTCCCGGGCGGGGCGGAGGTGGGGTGGAGGCCCCGTGGGGAGACCAGGGCTGGGACAGCACAAGTTGCGCACCTGTGCACCAAGAGTTGCTCCAGTTCTGCCCGGGATACCAGGGAACGGCTCCAGGAGGAGACAGCCGTACAGCCAAACACAGAGATGGGGCGCCCCCGCGTCCACACAATCCCCCCGGCCCCACCCGGCCCAGCTGCTCCCCAGCCTCTTCCCTTCCCTTCCCCCACCCGTGCCCACCGGGGTCCACAGCTCACGGCCTTGCCCCTTGGTGGGCACAAGGCTTTCCATGGTGCACAGCCTTGGCCCTCCACCACCTCCTTGCCTCCGGGACCCTGGGAACCTCTCTTCCCCAGATCCTGCCACGCAAGGGGGGGTCCCCAATCCATCCAACAGTCCCCCGCCGTCCCCCCAGGGTCTTCTTCCTTGGCGGCCTCCTCCTGGTCTGTCCTGGGATCCGGCTGCCCAGTCCCCCGTCTGTCCCCGTTTGGGGCACCCTCTCCAGACTCCAGGCTGGAGCTCTCTTTTCTACCTAGATTTCCCTGAGACTGCTGTTGCTAGAAGCCCCTCCCCCCGCAGTCATCGTGGAACTTGGGGTGCAGAACACGGCTCTGTGAGTGCGTGCTGCACGCTGCTCTCGCGGGGCGACGAGCCCGGTGGACTGAAAAGAGAAGTCACAGCGTCAGGATCACATAAACTACGGGAACAACAGTGGTAACACTTCTGCGCAAAGCACCGTGTTGTAAGCACTTTACAGTTAATCACCCACGTCGCCCACCTTCCAGAAGGGGGACACGGCCCGCCCATGGATGTCCCACGGCGTCCAGGCTCTGTGACTTCTGACCCCGCAGCCTCGGCCCCTTCCTGTCCCAAAGGCACATCCCTGAACTGGAAACTGGACGAAGCCATAGACCTAAGTGAGATGGGCTGCAGACAGGAGATGTGCCCGGGGGCCCCGAGCCTCACAGCAGAGGCGAGCAGATGGAAACCGGGCTGGGAAAGCTGCGGCGCACAGCAGCGCCCGTGGCTTTGGGTAAACACTCACCCCAGACATGCAAAGAGCTCGGAAGGAACTGATCACCGCCCCGGGCCTCAGGTCTCTGCCCACGCTCTGCCCCTGCCCGAGCTCTCTGCACTGCTGGCTTCTAGGGTTTCTGACCAACGTGGCTTCCTCCAGGAAACCTCACTGGGTGAGCATGGGCCTTGGAGCCAGGTCACCTGCAGGGAGCTCGCAGCCTACGGGAGCACCAGGCCACTGCTGGGGACACCTGGGTGGAGGCAGGGGTCTCTAGCCTGCCAGAGAGAGGTCACACCTCCGCTCAGGGGTCTCAGCCCAGGGCCCCTCCTGGTGAACTCCTACTCCTGTAACGCTCAACTGCATGTGGCCGGGTGGCCAGACAAAGCCCTTGTCGAGGACGGACCCTGGGTAAGTTACTCAGCCTGTCTGTACCTTCGTTTTCTCATTTGGGAAATGCAGATGGTAACAATGCCTATCTCGTGTTGTAAAGTTTGCAAAACAGGCCCCGGAAACAGATGCTGCTCCGTGAAGGCCTTCATCATCGTCGTCTCCTTCATTTGCATCATCTCCATCTCTGCATTTCTCCCACCTGCCGGTGACCACGCAGTCTCAGCAGTCCCTGCGCCCTCCAGAGGCGGCTCCTAGGTACTGCATGCTAACTAGCTCAACTCAGGTTGAAGGGGCCACCACTCCTCACCTCCAAATAAAAAATTAATTGAACCGCTGTAAGTCAGAAGAGAACGGATTGGTCCCCACAGCCATATACTGTGTCCTCCCCTGGGGGCTTCTCAAATGGCTGGCTCCTTCTAAACTATTCAAAAGCTGCCAGGGTCTCGCTATTTAGTTCAGGATGGGCTCAAACTCCTAGCAATCCTTCTGCCTCAGCCTCCCGAGTGCTGGGATTATAGATCTGCACCACCATGCCAAGCTCTGGGGCTCCCTTATATTCTAACACAAGCATTTAGTGTATACCAGATCCTGTCTAGGCACTATCTAGGCCGTGCTCACCTCTGATGAAATCCCACCCCTTGGGGAGCTGACATCCTGGTGGGAGACAGAGAGTTAAAATAAGCATTCCAAAGGGCATGGCAGGTCTTTGGAGGAAGGACCTAAGGAGGAGAACAAACCAGGAAATGGTAGGAGAGGTCTGCGGGTGTGGAGTTTAGAACAGTGGGGTCAAGGCAGCCGTCACCGAGACACGGGAGCACGGAGGCACAAGGAAAGGGCAGTCCAGGCAGAGGAGGCCTGGGCAGAGTAGGCCTGTGACGTCTGTCAGGTGGGGACGGTCTCGTTCCCGCCTCCGTCCCTAGCAGCTGTGGCGGCACCTGACACATCACAGTGTTCAATATATGTTGCGTGGATGGATAAAAATCATAGGCGTGAGCTTCAGGAAAAGCTTGTTTTAGCTCAGATGATGACCCCTGGAGCATTTCCTTCTCCACCCCTGGTGGCTGCTTTCTCAGGCAAGTTTTCTCCTTTTGCCCCAAAACAGCGCACAAGGGACTTCAAATCTCATGCAAGGAACAAGAATCTTTCCCAGCATTCCCAAAAAAGTCTTCAACAGAGCCCCTTGGCTAAGTAGGTCACATGTCCACCTCCCAACCAGTCCCTGAAGTTGGTGCCTGGGATGTGGGCATGGCTTAGAACCAGGTCCGGAAGTAAACCAGGTTTACTTCCTGGTTTACTGCAACCAGAAGGAAGGGAGAGGATGCTGGGTAGCTGAAGAACAAGTCTTGCCAGGCGTGGTGGCACACGCCTGTAATCCCAGCACTCGGGAGGCTGAGGCAGGAGGATCATTGCGAGTTCGGGGCCAGCCTGGGCTACAAAGTGAGCTCAAGGCCAGCCTGAACTGCATAACGAGACCCTGTCTCAAAAAGACAAAAAAAAAAAAAAAACAAGAAGAGCAAGTCTCGCAGGATAATCAGAACTGCTAAAATGAATTGATTCCTTTATTTTGGCCCCAGCCAAGGCATATTTAACATGCCCACAACAGCGGCTGCAAGCAGGCTAGCACCATTTCACAGATACAGAAACCCAGGACAAGGGAAGACTGAGGCTGGCAATTTCACAGCTCGTGAATGCTAGAGCACGCTCAGTGGAATGCGGGTGGGCAGGGTGCAGCCTGTTGAGAACTCCCAGGAGTCTGGCACTGATGGTGCACCTGCTCTAAGCCCTACCTTGCCAGCCACATCTCATTCCAAGCCTGGGAGGACCCCGTCACCTGCTCCTAGACGGCTGGTCACCTGCTCCCTGCAGTCCCAGCACCCAGCCCAGTATCTGGTAGTGCCTGGAATACAGCAGGTGCTCAATAAATGCTTGCTGCTGAAAGAACCACCCAGTGGCCCTATGAAGGGGGTCAATGATGGCCTTCCTTGCCAAGAGGAGGAGGCCAAGTCTCAGAGAGGCCATGGCAGACCCAGCTCCCCAGGACACAGCGCCGGGAAACACCTGGCATGTCAAGTTGGAGGCAGACAGATATCCGAGGGACTGGCCACACCCCGCACGCCACCTGTGCTGGCCACGCTCACAGAGATCATGAGGTAGCCCGTGTGACGTGTTCCACCCTCTTCCAGTTCCTGCTTCCTTGTCCAAGAGGACCCCTCACAGGGAAGGCTGAGTCCACAGAGGCCAAGGGCCCCCGACCCAGTGGGGAAGTCTGGAAGGGCTGGCATGTTGGGTGAACTCGCCCACTGGGGCATTGTGCGTGGCACCAGGAGGCATCTAATAAATGCCTGCTTGAGGAGAGGCCGGTGCTCAGTAAAGAAGAGCTGAGGCTGCTGCTGGCCGGGCACAGCTCCCCTGCTTCCACCAGCTTTTTCCCCAGCCTCCCCCTACCTGTCCCTGTGACCGCCACTGCACCCGGCCCCCTCCAACACACCCGCCCTTGTTCAAGTCCTCCCCACACCTGCACGTTCTTCTGCCCTCCCCCACCTGCACCGGAGTCTCCCTTCCTCCTCCCCACCACCCCCTTGTCCTGGCTCCCACCTTATTCTTCCCACCCTCCCGTTGTCCCCTCCCCCACCCTCACCCCTCACCCCCACCCCATTCCCCCTCTGCCCCCCACACACGCTGGGGCCAGGCCTGACAGTCACCCTGGCAGTGGGTTCTGGCCACGCTAGGTCTAGGGGTGCTTCAGCCCTGCAGTTCTTCAGGAAGCGCCATCCCCACATCCCTTCCTCCTCCGTGACACTGAGAGCGGCCAGGGCTCCTCCTGGCCTCAGGGCCTGAGGGCGACTTCGTGCGTCTGTGTCTGAGGGTGCAGGCGGGCAGCAGGGTGAGTCAGACTGCCCGATGTGGGTGTGTGATTCTGTGAGCGGGGCACAAAACCCCCGCGTGTTTGAATGCACGTCTAGGATGTTTGGGGAGCAGCCCACGTGTGTGTCCACAGGTACGAGGAGGGGGGAGCCTGAGCCTTTGCGTATCTTTGCGCACGGGTGTTGCATTTCATTGTACCTGCATGTAAGTGGGGAGGAGGCCGCAGCCACTGCGTGTCGGCTGCAGGGACCCACAGGCGTCCACTCAGGCCAGGAAGTAGGGGGGGCGGGAAGGGGCGGGGTGGGCGTGCACAGGGGTCCGGGGCGCCCAAGAGCCTGACAGGACTCTGCACTGGGGCTTTCCTCCAAGCTCTGAGCCTGGCAGGGCCACGCTCTGTGCCACACAAGGCCACCACAGCCGCAGAAGGACCACAGCCCAAGGCCACTAACTGGGTGGATGGTGGAAACAGGTCTCCTGGGCACGGGCTGGCTTCCCCAAGTGGTGAAGAACTGACGGGGCCTCTGGGGTCGCCGTGACTTCACCGCCCACACAGACGTCCACAGCCCTCCGGGGCCAACCTTTCCTTCCCTGCCTGCCGCCAGCCCCATCCACGCAGAGAAAGGTCCAGGACCCCACCTGTCACCCGCCACCTCCAGGGAGCTGCCCACCTGCGGACACACCCACCAGGGCCCTGCTCAGCCGCCCCCTTGACTCCCGAAGGCGCTCAGGCCACATTCTCAGGGAGAGGCCTCTGGCCTTTAGGCCACACCCACCCCATCCTCCAGCTCTCTGTGCTCTGGCCACACCCCCTGCCCATGGTCCGCCCTTGAGTCCCCGTTGCTCGGACCCTCAGGCCTCTCACAAGTGTCCCCCTGACTCTGACCCTTCCTTGAGCACCACCTGGCCCACTGTCTCGGGCCCTATTCCTGCCCTTGCTCTCTTGCCCTATCACAGAGCAGCGAGGCTCCCACAGAACAAGGGTGCAGGGCCCCGAACACATGTAGGAGGGCTGCTCCCCCTTCCCATCTGCGCCCCTGTGGGTGCTAAGAGAGATTGAGCTTCTCATCCGGGTCATGGCCAGGGGGGCACTCTCCTCCAGGCTCTACTGTGACAGCCCTGAGGACAGCCCTCAGGAGCTCCGTCCCCTCCCCTCCCGTACCTTCCAGACTAGGTTGCGGCTGTCCTCTGCTTCTGGACAGTCACACTAACAGGAAACCAGAAAGGAAGATGTTTTTCCCGCCTTCACCCCTCCAGGCTCAGGCCAAAGCCGCCTGTTAGCAGACACCAGCTGCAGGGGATGCTGGGATGCATCCTGGAGGAGCCCAGGCCTGCAGGGCAGTGCAGGACAGAGGAGGAAGTGGGAGTTTGGCAGAAGCGTCAACTGGTCAACCTAGGGCCTTGCTTCACTAAGCCTGTGCTCTACCACTGAGCTACATTCCCAGGCTCAATTAAGATTTTCTTCATACAGAATAGTGCTAGACTCTTCTATTAATGTTCTGACCCACGGGCAAAAATGCTAGGAAAGGCCAGACAGAAGCCCCTGCCCTCTCCCCCTCACCAGCAGCATTAACCACATGCGACGTGGCCACTTAGAGGGACTGGCAGGGTCCAGCACCATCCATTAAAGATATGAAAGACGCAGGGATGGCCACTCTTGTCACACTCCCATCTCATAGTACCAAAACTGGCCTTGGAAAATACGGATTGTCACAAACTGAATCGGGCAGTGACGCCAACCCCAGCTGCAGCTGTTAGATGCCACATCATTATGAAGCAAATAAACACAACCCTCGGAACCCAAAATAAAGCTGCTGACCTTATCCCTCGAAGGTGTGCTCCTCTGGGTCGCTTGCCTGCAAACCAACGAGGCTGATTAGAAGAGAACTCGGGGAAGAACAGGCTGGCTGGGTGCAGACTGTGGAGTCGTCTGACCGGGCAGGCCAGTGATACCAGACAGATCTACTGAAGTCGGAAGCTCCAGGAAGATCGCAGAGACTTCTGCAGACGTTGCTTCTCCCTTTGGGAAGCAGCTCCCAGTCATGACAGAGGCTGAACACCAGACTACAGGATGCCAGACTACAGGCCACCCTAACTGCCGGAACAACGCAAATTGCATGCTGTCCGATTCACTAAATCATTTGGCATTCCGTGAAAACTGGACGGGATGTACAGTTGTGCCCTACATAATGGCCCTGAAGTCAACAAAGGACTGCGGTGGCCCCCGAAGATTGTGTCCCTTTCAGTGGAAGACTCAGCAACACCAAGGACATGCAGGCAGGGGTGGCTAGGACATCCCCCGGAAATGAAGGCCCTGTGGCCAAGGCAGTAAGAGCGATGGTGGCGCACACCTGCAATCCCAGAACTCTGGGAGGCTGGGACAAGAGGCTCACAAGCTGGAGTCCAGTCTGGTAACTTAATGGCTCAGTGAGACCACCTCAAATTAAAAAAGAGGGCTGGGGATATAGCTCAGTGTGAAGACCCTAGTTTCAACCCCCAATACCACACACATCAAAAAAAAAAGTTACGTGGGATGGGCAGAATAGGGAAGCCTTGTGCCCAGCTACCAAAGCGGAGACGGTCATAGCTCTGCTCTTTATTACCCTGTCCCTTCCTTTTCTCGCCCAGTTCCTTAGATAAACAGCAATGTAACGGCCACAGCTTCGAGTTCCAGGTGGGAGGGGGACTGAACTGAGGCCGCTCCTCCAGGGTACGTAGCTCTGGGGACTTTGTGTCCCTTATGTGGGGGACGTGGATTTGGAGTTTGCATTCATAAACAGGACAAAGGTGGAGGTCGATGGCCAGAGTGATGAGCTGTGCTGGATATTTTTGGTTCCCCCTCCTTGCAGACCCACTCTGTGCTCTGCCTGCTTTGCACGCCAAGAGCCTGGTGAGCTGTCCCAGTGACTCCCTCACTGTAATGAGAATTGTCTGCGAACCCTAGCCAGTCCCTCCACCTTGGAAAGGGCGCTGTTCAGCCATCCAAGGTCCCCATCACCATAGCTGGAGGCCAGCGGAGTTTCTGCAGAAGGATGGATGGGCGCAGAGTACACGGCTCTCCCCAGGTTCTCTCATCTTTGCTTCTGCTGTTTGCTGTTCACCCCCCAGCCCTAGAAAACCAGCAGCTCAGCAAATGGGAGCTGGCGACTTCTGCAGTGCTGCTGCCCACGAGTCACCCACTGCTCTGTGAGCAATCATCTCAACTCCCTGCCAAGCTGGATGGGTGCGAGTCATTCCTTGAACTGTTGGCTCCCTCTCAGGGCAGAAGCAGACGTCTCTTTTATATCTTTCTGGGAAATTCACACGACACTTACCTTCCAGCTTCCTGTTGAGCTTGGCCAATGGAAGCCGCGTGTAGGGGAATGAAGGGCGGGAGGAGCGTGAGTTTGAGGCCTGTGCTCCCGATTCCTTCCTGTTCGGTTTTGCAATTTACCCACGGTCCCTTGGAAGAGTCCAGCCTGACTGAGGTTCTCTTTACTCTCCTTGTGTCCCCTCCCCTGTTCTGGGGCTGGAACCCAGGACCTCGTGCATGCTAGGCAAGCACCCTACCTCCGAGCTGCACTTCCAGCCAACCCTGGATTTTCCTTACTGCTTCAGCTGTTGATGGTAATCGCTTCCCACTCTTGCCTGCCCCAGGGTGCTTCAAACTTTCTTCAAACCCTTAGACATAAACCCCCTCCTTACACTCTCAACCACCCCGCTTCCTCTCTCTGTTACAACAGGCCTGGTGACTCAAGCAGGAAATACGCTCCCCTGGTGAGCTCCCACAATTTGTATCACTTTCTTCATGCAATGCTGCCCGTGGCCCTGTTTGAAAATGATCACAGATATTGGTACTGTTGTGCTCTCCGCCCACCACCAGACCACAAAATTGTTGGGGCAAAATCCATGCCGGGGGGCTGGGGATTTAGCTCAGCGGCAAAGCGCCTGCCTGGCAAGCGCAAGGTTGTGAGTTCGATTCCCGGTACCGGAGAAAAACAAAACAAAACAAAAAAATCCATGCCGGGCTCACTCGCGGCTCCTTTCTTGCATTTTGATTGGTGTATGACACACAGCAGGTGTCCAGTTAGCATCTGCCGTCCATGACTAAATAAATCAGTGCTTTATTAAATGAATAAATCCATCATCATTGGTCAGGTTTGTCTTTAGATAATTGCCTAAGTCTCTTGCACTGGTCATTGGTGCTGTGTCACCATAGATATCAATGGTAAGGCACTCTTTCTTGGTCCGTTCAAGATTGGAAAGAGAAGAGGAACACACCTCACAGCCAGAGACCCAGTAGCCTCTCCGTGGTGTCTGGGTGGAAAACGTCCTAGCATCGCCGCCTCAGAGCCCGGTTGGGGTGGCCCCTTGCACCAGCTCACACACAGGAATTTCACTTCAACTGTTTTTGTTTTTCTGCAAATTGTCTGGGACTTTCCTGAGGTTTTTGCCACCAACTCTTCTCATCCAATATAAAAATATTGTAAGTCATGTTCGCTGGAGGAGTCCTAGAACAAAATGACAAAAAACACACTGCTCACTCAGGAGATGGGAATCCCCACTGTCTGCAGAGGTTCAGGCTGGCGATCATTTGGGGATCCGGTTCTGTGGCCCACCGGAAAGGTCCGTCGTGTATGAAATCCCTTCCGGCTCTGGGCAGCACGGGGCCTCTGGGAAACCCCTCCTCCCTCTCCACGTTGTCCTAAGAAGCACAGGCCGTGCACAGCTCTGGCTTGACTCTGGGATGGAGCCACTATCCCCACCGCTTCTTCTGGAACCTCAAGGAGCGTGGAGGGAAAATTCAGGTCTAGTGGACGAGTCCTGACCAGAACTATGTGGCAGATCGAGCTTGTTTTCAGGAGCTCTTAAATCCTCTATCTCTAACTTCTACCACTTTCAAGGCTCCCCCTTCACTTCAGGGGACCCACCCCCATCGCAGAGGAGGAAGCTGGACTGGGGGTGGTGGTAGCCAGCCTGACTGTCCCCAGGGCCTTTAGCATTTAAGGAAAGCCGTGCCATTCTTGCAGGAAATTTAAATACTGTAGCCTCAGCATCAGAGAGTGGGTAGTGAGGGGTGAACAGTTCATCTCCATCCCTCTCTCTGGGGACAAGCTGAGCACCTAATGTTGGTGTTGGGCAAAACCCCGGGAGCCTGTGGGGAGCTGCTCATCCCGGTCTCCAGGGAGCCACAGCAGGCTCCTAATTTTGCAAGCAATTATGCATTCATGATCTTGTACACTGTTCGCCTCCTGGAGCCTGCTCATGAGTCTCTGTTTTTGCGTCCCATCATCCAGGAGGATAGTCGGAGCACAGTCAAAGTGACCTCTGTTGGAGCCTGGCCTCTCAGGGGCCCCCGCTGTGCTAGGTATTAACTCTTGGCTTAGAGGATCACAGGGAAGTTCGTGGGAGGGCCTGGGAAATGGCGTTAGTAACCAGCAGAGCTGTCACTCAATATCCTAACCACCAGGGTAGCTGGACCAGAGGCAGGGAGTCGTCCTCCCGCTTATAGCTGCCTTTGGCTTTCCTTTCTGCATCCATATTCCTGTTTCCCATCTTCCAGCCAGAGGCTCTACTTTCTGCTTTTTCAGTAGCCCTCACAGTGGGGAGGTCTAGCCTGAAGAGACAGGCGCAGGCCATGCCAGGGATGCCAAAACGGCTGTACATCAGGATGAGCCAGCATCTAAAACCTGATCTCCCTGAGTCCTGTGTCCTCTTGGGGCATGCTCAGCTTAGGGACCCCCCTGCCTTCCTCTAGGGGCCTGCCGGAAGTTGTGGGGGCAACACTGGTTCAAATACCAGGTGTTCTAGGAAGGAACTCACAGTGACTGCCTCCTCTTCATGTAAGAAGTCAGCGCGAACACCAACAGCACCATGACCCCAAACATCATCGCCACGGCGCCTGCGACAGTGATGATGTTCTTCTGCAGGAAGTGCAGAAGCTCCCCGCAAGGCAGATCTAAAGGGGAAGACACAAGGCAGAGGAGGCAGAGAGAGGTGACCTCAGTGGCGGCCCTGGGTTCCATCCTCAGCACCAGAAAGAACAAAAAATGAGCAAATATTCAGCTGGAAGCATCAAATGATGCCAGAGAGGGTCCTGAGCCCCGACAACCCTCCAAGGGGTACACAGGAAAATGGGGGTGGTCTAGAGGCATAAAGGCAGCCTTAGCTAGAGCTCAAGGGAAGGAGATCCCGGGATATTAGGACCCACTGATACTTCTGAGGCAATCGGGAAAAGGGGCACGGAGGTACAGTCACAAGCGCGAGACAGGTCAGGGGGAGATGCCGTGGGAAGCCGGGTGCAGGAAGAGAGTGCTGACCAGGGCCTTCTTGGGCCATGGGAGAAACTGCACATCCCCAAACCTTCACCTCTGGGATGTGAAGAGGTGGCAGAGAAGCAGCTCAAAGGGCTCTGTCGAGATAACTCAGCATTTAATCTTTAAGCGTCCAGAAGTGACAAATGGGCATAATTTGGGCAGAGAGTGGCTGTGTGGAGGGGCTATACTGGGCATGGTGCCAAGCAGACCTGAGCTTAGGTCACTGAACAACAGGAAAGATCCCAGGCACATCAGGGACCAGGGTAACTTTGGTATTCAGTCCCTTCCTGCCTGTCAGAAAGCTTCTGTGGCTGGCAATGACAACAGCTCTGAAGGTAAGGCACACATCTTTTCATTTTTGTTTGTTTTAGGGGTTGTTTTATGTTGTTTTGTTTTTAGACAAGGTCTCACTATGTAGTTCAAGCTGGCCTTAAACTCCCTATGTAGCCCAGGCTAGCCTCATCTGATCCTCCTGCCTCAGCCTCCCCAGAGCTGGGATCCCAGGCGTGCACCACCACGCCCAGCAATGCCCCTGTTTTGAGTGACCCTGGCCATGTAGCAACAACAGAAAAGCAGCACCTTTGTGAGGGTCACATGGCTGGAGTTTGAACTGCAGACCACATGCTCCTGCAGCTGAGTTAAGGGTGTGCCGACATCCATTCAAAGTGGCATGAAAGGCCGAGGGACACTCAAGCCCTCTGCAGCTGAGTACCCCCTTTCCCTCGGGCTGTCTGGGCGATTACCTGGACTGGTACCTTGCCGAAGTACTCCTGCAGTCACATCGTTGTTGACTAGGGAAGATACTCTGTCTCTCTTCTTTGAAATGCGGTCTACAAAAGACAAAAGGTGACACAGTGTTAGATGCGGATCTGGGCTTCCCCAAAGGCCAGTGTGGTAAAGTCATGGTCCCAGGGTGGCACCACTGGGAGGGTCTGGAACCTTTAAGGGGTGGGGCCTAGGAAGAGGTCCTTGGGTCATTGGGGTGTGCCTCAGAGAGGATCATGGGACCCCAGCTCTCCCTCTGCTTCCCAGCTGTGAGGCCAGCAGCCACTGTTTCACACACCCCCACCTTTATGAGCCACTTTGTCATGGTCCCAAGAAAACAGACCCAGCTGATCACGGGCCAGAACCTCCAAAACTGTGAGCCATGACAAACTTTTCCTTTGGTGAGCTGACTCAGGGTTTTGCCATCATGAAGGAAAGCCCTCTCTCTCTCCCTCTCTCTCTCTCTCTCTCTCTCTCTCTCTCTCTCTCTCTCTCACACACACACACGCGCGATCATCTACAACTGACCACTGGCCTGGAGTTCATTCTGTGTCACAACGAAGTAGCTTCTTCCACAGCTGAAATGGAAGATTTTCCAGAAGAGTCGAAACAGACTACAGACATCAGAGTTTTGATTTTGGGTTTGTTTTTTCCTTCATCCAGCACCTTCCGGGGTAACTCACCCATGGCTGAGGCCATGCTCTCCACAGTGACATAGGCATCGGAAACATGGGAAGCGCTCGTCAGAAGCACAGTTCTGGGCTCATCCCTGAGTTTTGGACTCAGCGGGTCTGGGGTGAGCAAGAATGTGCTTATCTCACAAACCCTGAGAGACACCACTGCTGCTGGTTGGGAACCACACTTAGAGGACCCTGGGGAGGACTCCCAGCTAGCCCCAGAGCCTCTCAGAGATAGAGATAACAAGACCCACCTCACAGATGGCACAATGTTTGTGAAAATGATTTCTAAGCCCCAGTGTATCATACAAAATGTTTCTCAGGTTGCAAGGACAAAATAAGGAAATTAACCTCACTGAATTATTTATCAGTAGAGGAGCTGCAGAATGGTTTGGTATAAAGAAGACAGAGTTGGACATGAGAAATATTTGCATCCTGGCTGCGCCCTTGGCCACCTTTGACTCCTGCATACCTGAGACCTGACAAAAGGCCTGGGTAAGCTCCACTTGGAGAAGAGCGAGGCCAGGAGAACCACCCACCGCAGGCTCGGGAATGGCCCAGGGGAAGGGCTGAGAGCTGTCGTGAGAAATTCCAGGGAACAAACTAGAACAATGCACAGGAGTCCAGGGGAGACTATTGAACTATTTAGCAGTTGGCAAGTAGAGCTGTCAAGAAGAACAGGAGCCAGGTGTGCATCACCAGCTATGAGTTAGAACCCATAATCCCGGCAGTCAAGTGGCTGAGGCAGGAGGATCACTGTGAGTTCAAGGCCAGCCTGGACCACATAGTGTGTTCAAGGCCAGCCTGAACTACCTAGGGAGACCCTATCTTACAAATGGGAGAAGGAGGTGGGTATGGTGGCACATGCCTATAGTCCCAGCACTCAGGAGGCTGACAGGAGGACTGCCAGGGGTTCAAGGCCAGCCTGGGCTACATGGTGAACTCAAGGTCAGCCTGCACTACACAATGAAAAATGGAAAGAGGGGATAGGAGACAGTCAGAAAAATCCCATACTCCAGATGGATTTGAGCCAAGCTGGAGTCCACCAGTTCCTGATGGAAGAATTCTATGAGCTGGAGGGGCATTTGGGGGCAAGTTTGATGAATCTTCTCTACACAAAAGAAACCTTGGGCTCAAGGTGTAGCTCAGTGGCAGAGCACTTGCCTAACCTGTGCAGGTCCTTGGGCTCCACCTCCAGCATCGCAAAAAAGAAAAGAAAACTTTACACAGTGTTGGGAACCATGAGTTGTAAACTGATACATGTCCTAGACTCTCCTTGCCCTGCCTGCCTCATGGGCTGGTTTTGGAATGCGGAAGTCACCTTCCTCTCCTTCCCTGAGATTAGCACCCGGTGTGGGGGTGCGTCTTGGCTGTTCCCTTTATGATGTTAAGCTTGCCCTTTCTACCAGTGCCTTTGTGCTGTTCCAGGGCAGGCACCCCACCCCTCCCCTGCACTGGCTGATAAAACGGTGCTCGCGGGAGATTCAGGGCCTTTCGTTCCTGGGGAGCAACTGGTGGTCCCCATCCCTGCTGTGCGCCCCTCTACTTTGTCCCTGGCTCTCTTTCCTTTCCCGCTATGCAAAGTAACCCGGGCAGGAGACTGGGAGCCACTGCAGGGGTCTCCAGGAACTGGCACCATGGGAAGGGTTACTAATAACCCAGGAGACTTGACCATGGCTCACAGTTTTGGAGCTTCCAGCCCATGATCAGCTGGCTCTGTTGTCTTGGGATCACAATAAAGTGCACATCACAGTGAGTGCATGAGACACAGCCGCTGCTGGCCTCACAGCTGGGAAGCAGAGGGAGAGCCTGGGGTCCCATGATCCTCTCTGAGGGGCAACCCCAATGACCCAAAGACCTCCTGCCAGGCCCTGACCCTTAAAGATTCTACTGTGTCTCTCTGTTCTCCCAAAACTCCATGCAGACACAACCTAGCCACTTTCTAAATGCCTTCTATTGCAGCACATCTCTATCCCATAATTTTCAATTGACTAGACTGACCCTCAGCTGTGAGCTCTTGGAGGATGAGAAGGGCTTGTTTAGTTCTGCAGCTAACCGAGCAGAGCCTATGCCTGGTAGGAGAGATCAATAGCCAGGGTTGGGGAAAATTGAACATTAAAAGCAACCGGCACTGGAAGATCTGCTGGTACAAGGCCTCCTTGCTGGCTTAAGTGCCAAGAGACGGCAGCTGTGTTTCACTGATGACTGTCCTGAAATTGGCAGGAAACTAATTGAGCATATTAGCAATGTGAGTTGAAAGAGTATTGGGTCATTGTGATGGTTGGTTGATTGTGTCAACTTGAGTAAGAGAAGCTTAACTACATCACCTCAGCATTCCACACCGCGGGTGCAGAAGACCCACCCTAAGGTGGCTTGTCACTTGAATGGTACGAAGGGGAAATGAGGAAGGAGGGGTCTGCTTCTGTTGCTTCTGAGGAGCACCAGCTTTTGCTTTTGCCTTGGACATCATCTCCCGGCTTCCACGACAGACTCTTCGGCTTCCGGCACGGATCTCTTCGGCTTCCGGCACGGATCTCTTCGGCTTCCGGCACAGATCTCTTCGGCTTCCGGCACAGATCTCTTCGGCTTCCGGCACAGATCTCTTCGGCTTCCGGCTCAGATTCTTTCGCCTTTTGGTGTAGATCCTTCCGCCTTCCACCACAGACCCATCAGCCTCCTGATACGGACTCGCAGGGCCTCTGCAGTGAGCTTCAGACCTTGGGCCGGATCCTTCAGTCTTCCGAGGGCAGGCACCTTTTTCATGCTTCCTCATCCACCTCTGTGGGCAGCCATTGTGAGCCAATCTTGTAGATTCTTACACATTTGTACACCGTGTGTTATGTTTCTCTAGCAAACATTGATTGATAGAAATCCCTGAAGATCATCTAAGGTAGGGAATGTGTAAAAATGTGCAAACTCCTGGGCTTCACTTTAGAGACTCTTGGATGGTTCCCAAAACAAGAATTTAATCTGCTGCTCCTATCCCACAGCCTCCACCCACGGGCAGGCATGGAAACGCTGTGCCCATTCCTACACTGGGGCCCAGGAAAGACCACACATTTGCCGGCCTGGACAATGACATACTTGGCTTTTATATCCCTCCTTTTTAATTTTTCATAGGAAGAACTGCTTGATGGAATTGTAGTTGCTAGCCTCCTTTGTTGGTTTTGATTTGCTTTGTCCGGTGGGCTGGGGATGGAATCCAAGGCTAAGCCAGCGCTCTATCGCTAAGCTGCCCACCCAACCTGTCATCCTGTCTTTGGGGCCAGTTGCCCTCTCCATTTACAGATCAGCAAGATGCACCCTTTGTGGTGGGACGCTTTCCCTTGCTGCTCAGGAGGATGGAGAGAATTCCCCAGGAACATATGCTCTGCCACCTAGGGGAAGGCACCTGCTGGTGCTTTGGGAAGAACCAGCTGCTGCCAGCTCTGACTGCTCCTTCTTGGCATCCATCTGCCCTTGGAGGCACAGTCTGGCCTGCTGTGCCATGCTGCACATCCTACAGAAGCAGATCCTCACTTGGGTCTGGAAGCCACACCCTGGACTGGGACCGGCCACCAAGTCTTCCCTACTGAGGAGTCTGAGCTCCCTCTGCTGGAGCCTTGGCTCAGCCTCACATTTAATGATGAACTCAGGAGAAAGGACTACATAGTGCCAGCCCCAATGCCAAATGCCTCATTTGCATGTACCATCATCTGGAAGTTTGTCCATTCTTTCAAGAATGTCATCTTCTTCCTCAGAATTCCGAGACACACTGGCTTCTTGGGAGAAATACATGAAAGAGAGGGGAGGGGAGAGAGATTTTCTTCAGTGTACATTTAAATGCATCTTTTTACATTTTTATTTTAAATTTTTAAATTGAATGCCAATATAGAACCCAACTTGTATGAAGTATGAAGAAATATGTGCGTGTGTGTGGTGCATGTGTGTGCATGTGTGCATGTGCCTGTGCATGTGTGTACACGTGTGTGTGTGTGTGTGTGTGTGTGTGTGTGTGGTTGGTCCACTGGTTTTGGCTTTTTGAGACAGGGTCTTACTATGTAGACCAAGCTGACCTTGAACTTACTATGCAGCTCAGGCTGGCCTTAAATTCACAGCAATCTTCCTGCTCTGGCCTTCTAGGTGCTGGGATGACAGGCATACACCACCACGCCCAGCTAAGAAACGCGTGTTTGAAAGTTGATGTAGAGACATGTCACCTGACTGCCTATTGCAGAGAAGCTCAAGCAGATGCTTGGAGAAATGACCCTCAAGGCACATACCAACTCAGGGTTCATTCCCCTGCTACCCAGGGCATTTTATCACCGCTGGCAGATTTCTGATACATAATTCCATCCTTATTGCCTGTGATCAAAAACCTATCTTAATTTCCAAAGGGCTACTTTTTCCAGTAAAATGAAGCCGCTTTGGAGAAGAGAATGTTCTTTTCTGTCATTGCCATGGGTGTGCCTAGGATATGTTACTTGGAGTCTTTTTCTCACCCTCCATTAGCTGGGGGGCTCTCTCAAGCCACTTCATGTACATGGAAGTCCAAAGTGTGTTGGCTAAGAAGTTCTGTGTTTCTCGGGGTTCATATCACAAGGGACAGTGAACCTCACGTGAAAATCAGCTTCCTGTTCTCTGAACTCCACCAGGGTGCTGTGGCAGAACCTGCCTGACATTGCACAGCAAGAATCACACCAAATACAGTCACATTCATGCTGCAGACCTCACCCCCACACACATACCTGTTAGGGGAGGATTTCCCACAGTTCTCTCAGAACCTCACGCCTCAGCTGGGCCCCACCCCAGCAGCAGTTGGTTCCCAGAATGCAAACAACAGCCTAGTCCACCAGTATTCTACAGTCCCCAGGCCCATGGAAACACATGCAGCAGGGCAGTAGCAACATATACTTGCTTTCATCCAGGTCTTCCCTTGTAACTGGCCCCACTGTCGTACTTGTTTTCCCAAAAACTTCGACATCCAGCTCCTTAGGAGACACCTGCTGCAGAATGTCATCTGTGGGAGGCAGACAAAGGCGCATTAACACAGCAACAGAGCGACGCGTCCTGCTCTGTGAGTACCTGAAGCAGTCCATGCACACAGTGAGCCAAGGACATGAACTTGGGCTATGGACCCTGCTCTGAATGCCTTGTCGTAGCAAGGGGGACTGCAGTAACCGAAGTCATTGCTGGATTGTCTGACTGCAGTTCATATCATCCGCCAGAACACACAGCTACAACTCTGCCCCCAATGTCATTTTCAGGCTGCGTCCGCTCCTTCACCCTGTCACTGTCACAGGCCACTCCATCGGTCACCGGCCAGAGAGCTGGTGCAGCCTGACCGGGGCCCCTGGACAGCACATGGGAGGAGCAGCAACCCCAAGTTCCTGGCCTGAGACAGCACACAGGATAAGGGTCCACCACATAGGGGTGACACCCCCCTCGAAGGCGTCATGGCAGGCCTCAGAGGCCCAGGGGAGCGGGTGCCTCTCACGAGGGTGCGCCTCAGCCCCCGCTCTGCCCAGTCTCAGGCTGGGGAGGAGCTGTGCGCCTGCGCACTGTGCCTGGACACCTTCCTTCCCCAGGGCTCTGCCCCAGCACTCTGCTGGACAGAGCTGCCCCAGCCCCAGGGGAGCTTGCCAGGTTTTGCTTTTGCTTTTCAGTAAAGCTTCCCTTCCTTCCTCCCTCCGTCCCTCCCTCCTTATTCCTTCCTCTTTCCCTCTTCCCTCCCTCCCTCCCTCACTGTCAGGGCAGGGATGGGGCCCAGGACCCAGTGCGCGCCGCACCACCGAGTCTGACCTCCAGCCTCACTCGCCGTAGTTTTGTTGTTGAATCTCTCATTTTCCACGCATTGTGGGAAAAGTTCCATTTTAACTACTTTCAAATGTACAATTCAATAGCACTGAGAAGAGTCACCATGTGTGTAAACAGTGCCGCCATTCATAGCGCGCCATTCAGGAACCTTGTCCCTGTTGCCACAGCTTTAATGTGTCCCCAGAGGTCCTGTGTGGGCTTCTTGGTCTCCAGGGTGGCCCTGAGGGCGGGGTCTTGTGGGAGCTGTTAGGGTCCCAGGCAGGCCCTCGCCATGACTGACGCTGTATCACAAGGGAGGCTCATCCCCTCTGCCACGCAGCAAGAAGCCCCTCTTGAGGTGCCAGACCTCAGCCTTGAACTTCCCAGCCTCCAGAAAGGTGATCCAGGAACTTTCTGCCCACTATAAAGCACCTGGTCTGGTGGGGTGTGGTGGCACACACCTGTAATCTCAGCCTTTGGGAGACTGAGGCAGGAGGATTACCTGAGTTCAAGGCCAGCCTAGGCTACTGCTGTAGTCAGTGTTCACAAGGGGAACAATACAGGACACACAATTTGTAAGATTATTTTATATTAGTCACCCAAAGAGTCATATACAAAGACAGTGCAGGAAATCTGTCCACACACTAAAGATCAAAGAATGCAGCTGAGGGCCTGGATCCCACAGTAATGTCCTGCATGAGTCCAGCTGAAGACCTACAGCCCAGGACAGTGCCTCCCCATGAGTCCAACTGGAGGCCTAGAGCCCATGACAGTGTCTCATTTAGGCCTGTTTCATGGATCTGCACTGGGAAGGCCCAAAGGTCAGTGGTGAGAACTACAAAATCTGTGCCAGCGGGATCTGTGCCAGCAGGCTGAGGGACCTGCACAGGAGCCAGGAAGCAACGCTCAAAGAAAGAACCAGAGCTCCCGCGAAAAGTACCACAGCCATCCTTAGCGACAGTGAGGTCCCGAGCTCCTCCGATGATGAGGAAAGCCGAGTTCCATCAGGAAAGCCAACGTGACAGGCTTCCCCAGGAGACTAGCAGTGCACCATCTTCCCCTCCAGAGCCAGGAAGCAATGCCCAAAGTGAGGACCAGAGCTCCCCCAAAGTGACCCACAGCCATATCCAGCAGCAAGACCCCAAGCTCCTTGGATGATGAGAACAGCCGAGTTCATCAGGAAATCCAGCATGACAAGCTCCTCCAAGAGAACCAACAGCTCCCTAACAGCCTCTCTTCCTCCTCTCCAGTTCTGCCTCTTACGCTGCCATCAACAGTCCTCAGGTGGGCCTCCCACACCCAGCACCACGCTGGTTCAGTTCAGCTGGGTGTTATAAGTTGACCACCAGTTTGTCAATCCACCACAGCTACGTAGTGAGTTCAAGGCCAGCCTCCACTACATAGTGCCCTGCCTTAAAAAAAAAAAAAGCATCACCTAGTCTATGTTATTCTCTGATAATAGCCCTAAACAGACTAAAATGCACACAAGCCATAACTCCCTTTCTTCCTCCCCTAGCCCCTAGTAAACTCTATTTTATGTCCCTATGGATCTGTTGATTTTACACAGCAATAGCTTCTGCAATATTTGCACTTTTATATCTTTCCTATTTCACTCAGTATAAGTCCTCCAAGGTTCATTGTTCATGCATCAGATAACACATGTTGTAGCATGCATTAGAATTTCATTCCTTTTCTTGAGTGAGCAATATTCTATATTTTGTTTATACTCACACAGCTCACACAGCTTCTGTTCTTTCCTACTGTGAGTAATGCTGCTATAAACACTGGCATTTAAGCATCTGTCTGAACTCCTGTTTTCAGGGCTAGTGGGGATAGACCTAGAAATAGAATTCCTGGGTCATGTGGTAATTCTGTGTATAATGTTTTGAGAAACTGCCTAGCTGTTTCCATAGCAACTGCGCCATTTTACGTTCCCACTAGGAAGGCATGAGGGTTCCAGGTTCCTTCATCCTAGCCAACACTTGTTATTTTCCCTTTTTTGGTAATGGCCATTCTACTGGGTGTGAACCAGTAGCATTTTACACTTCTCTGGTGACTGATGATGTTCAGCAGTTTTTCATGTTTTTATTGGCCTTTTGTACACTTTTTCTTTTTTAAAAAAAAGACTATTCAAGTCCATTTTTGAATTGTATTGCTGTTGTTGAGTTACAGGAATTCCCTAGGTGTTCTGGATATCACCCATTAGATTATTTTTTTTTAATTTATTTTTTTTTTATTTTAAAGAATAAAAGGAGGGAAACATTAACA